CAGGTAACATCATACCAATTTTAACAGCATGAGGATAAGTAAATGTAAAGGAACTATTATTTTAATGTACCAGCTGTAGTAATTCAAAACAACAACAACAACAACAACAATAATAATAATAATAATAATAATAATAATAATAATAATAATATTAATAATAATAATAATAGTAGTAGTATATATTATATATTATTTTTATTATTTATTTATTTATTTTTAAATAATAATTAATGGGTCAACATTTATTTGCAACTTCAAATAAACTTTTATAAGACACCATCAAAGCCCAGAATCACTTTCGGAAATGGTCCAGTAAAAAAGAGCATCAGTGTGTTCCAGCTGTGATCTTTGAGGTGGTCGCAGGTCCTGATCGTGTGTCCTTGGGCCCACATGGCATGCACAGATTTTTCCATCAGATCCCCGTAAAGGTACGCTTTGAATCTCCACCCCTACCCTTTTAATTAAATGAAAGCACAGCGGGTCACATACAAGCTCAAAGTCACAGTCCAGAAACAGACAGACGCACATAGCATTGTGCTCATGGTCGGAATGCACAAATATGGCCGCTCAGCGGGGAAACTACAAATATAACTGTGAAATTAAAGGAGAAATGGGCCTGAAGATCTGCAGGACACAATTCAGAGGTCAACTTTAGCTGCTAATGTGATTTACTAATGCAGATACAATATATAAATACGTAAAATGCTAAGCTGGTTTTGACTTCTTAAAGGAACAGTGAAAAAAATTGGCACTCTGTTTTCATTTGCTCCCTCTCATGCAGTTTCAAATGTTTTTTGTGAGACGTTTTTGACAAAAGTGCTGCTATTTATTAAGTATTAAGTATTTAGTAACTATTAAGTATCGTAAAAAGTGGCAAGTATGATTTAAAAATACAGTATATTTCAATTGAATGCTATAACAATGAAACTAAAATAAATTCTTACTCACTGCTCATCATTTCCTTCAGCTGGCTATTGAGCATATAACTTTAACTGAGTTGAGTCAAAAATATATATATATATTTAAAGAGTCAGAGAAAAGATTCAATGTTCATGTATTCAGATATCAATATGAATGCACACAAACTCTCTAAGGAAAGTTCTGGCAGATTTTCTGTGAATAATAACTTATATTTTAATCTGTTCCCTTCTCACACAAAGGTGTAATACATATTTAGAAGATTTGAAATGTGTCAAGTAATATGGGGATTAAAGTAATATGGTTCTGATTCCTTTGTGATGTTTTTGTTGCCATAACAGACATACACTACATAGCTATTCCCTTTATACCTACAAGGCTGCATTTATTTGACCAAAAATACAGTAAAGTAAAAACAGCTATGTTATGAAATATAATTACAATATAAATGACTTGATTCCTAAAATTTATAGCTTTTCACAATATTCCAGTCTGCAGTGTCACGATTCTTTGGAAATCGTTATAATAAAGGCTGATTTGCTGATTTTTTTTTTTTTTTTTTTTTTTTGTGTGTGGAAAACTCTGAATCATCAAGAATCTGGAGATACAGCACCCATCATAGTACAGGGGTTATATGAATGAATAGATTTCAATACTGTAAGGATTGGATTTTGTAGAGTCATGGATTTTATTAATTAATTTATTTAGAAAAAAGATCAAATTTTTGAAAACGTAATTTTCATGAATAACACAAAGGTTTAACAAAATTATATGTTTCAGATTAAAAGCTAAGCCAATAATTAGTTTTGCTATTTTTTTGTAATGAAAAACACTTAGTAGGCAATAAAAATATAATAATAAAATATATAAATAAAAAAAATAAATAAAGTTAAGTAAAAAAGTAAAGTAAAACAAAATAAAATACAAAAAAATAAGTACAATAAAATAAAATAAAAAATTAAATGAAATAAAAATAAAATAAAGTAAAATAAAAAATGCAAAAGGAAAATGAAATAAAGTAATAAAATAAAGTAAAATACACTAAAAATAAATAAAAAAATTATAAAAATAAAGTAAAATTTAAAATAAAAAAATAAGTGCTATAAAATAAAATAAAGTAAAAGAAAATAAAGAAAATTAAAATAAAATAATTAATTAAGTAATTAAATTATTATTTTTTTATTAATTTAAAAAAATAAATATGAAATATATAAATACAAATATGGATACAGTGTCTTTGAGAATTCTTAGTGAAAACATTTTTCTTTAATACACATGCCTTATTTATTTCTTTGTTTGTGTGGGTAAACAATGTACATATTTTCATACAGTATGATATCATACTACTATATTAATTGTATAATTTAATATAACATGCAATATATAATGATAATTGCATTATAAGTGTATTTAAGGTTGGTAACATCACAAAGGCCAATAAATAATGACAAATTATGCAAATGTGGTTTATAAAACAGCACAAATGGGAATGAATCCTTTCTTCAAATCCAAATATTTATAATTTCCATCGAACTGTCATTTTCCGTGGAGAATATTGCACTAGTGCCATTTGAAAGGAGAATCGGCTTTCAAAATGCTCTTTTTTGAGCGATGCCCTGCTAGCACAGCTGTCTACACTCAGATGGCATCAAATGGGCTTCTGCTGAAATCTGACCATCAATATCTTGTAAGAAGACTGACAGCGGTGACATCTAATCACTGCCCTACTGACATGCCATAACTTGCGTCTGATACCCGTCAGGCTGAGCTGCGTATTGACATGAGGATCCTCTATTTATAGAGCCGCTTGTCTGCTGTGAATCTCGAAGACTTTTACAGGACTCATTAGCCTCACGCTGTTTATCATACACTCTAGCCATATTAAATGATCTGCTTATGCTCTCCAAATGGCTGTGAACTTGAACGTTAACTTGATATGGAGATTGTGTGCAATTTTACGCAGTATATGAGATGTGTTTAATTATAACAACGCTAGTTTTAACACTGTGGAAAATGGGGTAATAAAAGGTGTTTAATTGGAGAAAACCCATTCATATTTATGATAAAGGATGATTGCTAATTATATTCTGGTAACATTTTAATTAATGGTTCATTAGTTAATGTTAAGGTAATTTATTTAGTAAAACTTAGTACATAAACCTAGCAACTATTTTAGTAACAATTAATAAGCAGCAAATTAGGAATTTATTAGGCTAAATCATAGTTAATGTTTAGGTAATAGTGAGAATTGTACCTTAAAATAAAATTCGCTTTCATTAACTTATGTTAACCAAGTATAAATACCTTAAAGGGCACCTATTTTACCCCTTTTTTAAGATTTTAGATAAGTCTTTCGTGTCTCCAGAATGTTTCTGTAAAGATTCAGCTCAAAACACCCATCAGATCATTTATTACACCTTTCAGAATATTGGATTTTCTGCTTTGAATACTATGTAGTTTTTTTTGTTGCCTGTACTTTTAATGCAAGTTCTCCCTACCCACCATTCATGCCTGTCATAGTGTGCCTCAATCTCTGGCTGCATCAGATAAACAGCACAATGTATCACGTAATGTTTGTGAGAAATACTACAGTAAGAACTTTCCCAATGATTATTTGATGTATTTGTTGTGGAGTTAATTCAAGCCTTTCTGCAACGATGAGTCAAACACAATGTTGTTACAACGTTCAAGCACACACACACATACAGACATTCACACACAGTGGACACACACACAGCGCATGCATTTAACTTTGCACTGTTTTCCATGGTAAATGTAACAGGATACATGTTAATATCCACTGCTGTTTGGATATCCGTTATGTTAACATACAAAATAAACCTGATTTAATGTCCATAAACTGGGATTGAGGCATTTTTTTTATAATTGTACTGACATGAGGCTGCGGTGATAAAGTAAAGCTGAGGTAAATCGCTGTAATTCATTACAAACATGCATGTTTTAACCCTCCTGTCGTGTTAACATCTTGCCCCTTTTGTGTTCCCGGTCGAAATTGACCGGACTGTTTTAAATGCTCTTATATTACCACAAAAAACTTTTTTTTTTTTTCCCACCAAATTTTATCTTTAGCTGTGAACAATGTCTCAAAGTAGTGTTTAACATGAATTTACCAAATTAGACATCAAATAATTGCAATGAAAATAAAAATATTTATAAATGTTGTAAAACTCATTCTTGATCACATTTGATGATTATTGATGATCACAGAGAGCTGAACAGATTTTTTAATCCCAGTTGCTTTTCCCAGGCCCTGTCTTGTGGATATGATTATGCATGTTACTACGGAGACATGTTAATACTTTTTTTTTTTTTTGTCTTGTAGCGTCTAAAGTTTGAGAAAAGGGCATTACAAATAAAATGTATTATTATTATTTTTATGCTAAATATTGGAAATAAAAGTACAAACTACAAAAATTCAACAAAATTGAATATATTTCTGTTTTTCTTGTTTTTTGCAATTTTTGAAAATGTTCTATAACATTTTCTATAACATAAATTTGGACTACTAAATGTTGAACCATTATTGTAAGTTATTTTGTTAGATAAGCTCCAGAATTGGCCTCAGTACTGACTGACTCAGTCACCAGCAGCACTGTAACTCACACTAGTGCCTATATTATGCTGAACGTTTCCATGTCTATCCAGCTGTATAAAAAGGTATACATATGCACTTTACATGCGGATCCCTATGAATACAAATGAGATCACCTTTCCTTTTTTTTCAGACAGTATCTCTCTTGTCTTTGTGATGTCCAGCCGTTAAAGCTCTATGGTTCTCTTTCTTCTACAACAGTCTCCTTGACTTTGACAGGAATGGCAGTTTGCCATCAAAAAAAAAAAAAAAGGACAGTGTAATACAGCACTTGAAGGAAATGCTAATGCGGGAAAGAAAGAACTGAATGATCCAGCCTGAGAGTGTCATGTCATCTTATATATGCTACAAAAGATTAAAACCCAGGTCTAAATGAAATCTGATGCATGCAAAAATGTAAAAGTAAAGGTGTTCTGCTTTAACGCTGTTGTATGTGTCCTGTTTCTCCTTACGCTCTCGTTATGCTCAGGAGCCGCTCAGACCACACCAGGTACTGCTCCTCTTCTTCACTTCTTGTGACTTTTCTATCTTTGCATGGTGTGTGCAGTTTGCATGGTTTGATGACTGGCCGTTGAGGCAGTCTGCATGTTTTTCATTTTCGAATTCTCAGGGTGTGCGCGGGGTGTGAAAATGTCTTGACGTCTTAAATTAAAAAAACTAAATTTAGGTCTTAAATTTACTGGAATATTCTGTTGTAAGTCTTACAGTAAATCACCTGTTACCCAGCACTCACTTTTGGGGATTTACACCTACCTAGCATTAAATAGTAACAGTTCTTGACCCCAGTGAGCTGTCAACGTAAATTTGGTATCAATGGAAAGAAGACACTTTGAGCTTTACTATGGTAAAACTCATGCTAAAAATATATAAAACATTTTACATTAGGAAGTAATGAGAAAGAAAATTACGGTGTTCAAAGTATGTTTTTTTCATATACAAACACAGGAAAACATTAATGTAATAACCTAATAAAATATGCCTTGAAAGCCAAATGAGTTTATATTTCAAATTTGATTAAGATAGCATCCAAATGAGATTTCTGTAGAAAAGTTTTCTGTGACTATATCGGTGTCCTTCTTTCCCTCACCGTCAGAGGCACTTTCTCAAAAATTTGTAACTGAAAAAAAGCCTTTGACCTTTAAATGTGGTCTATTTGAAATTCAATAACAAAAATATCAGTATTCACACTGGTGTATAGGGGAAAAATATAATATAGGCTATTACAATTTAACACTTGCGTGTTATTTGTTATGCTCTATTAGTTAGTGTGAGGATTGCTGTGAGGCGAGTAAGACTGTCTTTTTTTTGTGGAGGATGGATTACAAATTTGTCCGTTTTTGGTCCGCCAGGGCAGTGGTGGTTGTTTCGGTGTTTGTAGGTTGTAGGTTGCTACAGGTGACCATCAACCGTTTTCCCAGAGGATGAAAAGCTGATAAAATATGGCTGTCACCATGATACAAGTTTTATTTATGGACAAAAGCACAAAGCACTGCAGTGTTTGTGTGTTCTGTGTTTGTCTGAGAAAACCTATCTTACCGAAATATGAATATTCCATACAAGCTAAAGCTGATCAATCAATTCTTTTCAACGTGACTCGCGGGAGACATTGGTGCTTGTGCACGCAAGCCGCGCAACTCCATTGGAAACAACAAACTTGTGCAAACTCTAGAAATACAGGTTATACGAACGGCCTGCGATCTCCATCAGTTAATCTTCTTGCAGAGCCATGCTGGATTCACCTGATTTGTTGACAACTGGGTTGCGAATCCAAACCTTGGCAGTTCGTGAGTCGTTCAATGGGTCTTTTCCCCTTAGCAAAGACACACATTTGGGTGCTCAAGTGACCCAAAGAGATGTAAGCAAGAGAATACGATAATTTAAAAAAATAAAGGACATTTAAAAATAATTATTTATTGTGCAGCCTTGTACCAATAGATATACGAACCGGTGGTTGAGGACCACTGAGCTAGGGGATACAATGCAAAGCCACTGCAAAGTAATGTTTAAAATATGACGCGACTCCCCCACTGAGCTCGCTGAGGCCCCCTTGTGGGCCAGGACCCTCCTGTTGAAAACCACAGATCTAATTTATAATGCTCAACATAAAAAAAAAAATACCATTCCGCTTTGGCGACCCCGGATTAATAAAGGGACTAAGCCAAAAGAAAATGAATGAATGAATAAAAAAAAGAACAATTTTGTTGAAATTGCGTAGGTTGTATTTTATTTTTTTGTTATTTTGCTTGAATTTAACTACTATCTTTTAATTTCTACATATTTTTGGTGACTAAAATATTATTTATTTTATTATAAATATTATTATTTATTTAATAAATATATCTGTATAATAAATATGTTTTGTTTAAATGCACCAAAATACATTGTCTATATTCAATGAGAAATTGAAAAAATATTCATTTTCAAAGTGGGGTGTACTCAATTATGCTGAGCACTGTATATTAACAAAATAAATCTTTTTTATTGACCAAACCATGCTTCAGAAAAAAAATAATGTTTAGTCCTGTATACATCTGAAATTTCATTTGTAATGGTCCTAAAATGTCTTAAAAATTCTTTAATTTAACTTGCTAAAACTAGCAGAAACCCATGAATTTTGCTTTGTGTTGAGTCTAAAAAGTGTTCACACTTTTTTATTTTATTTGGTTTTTTTATTTATTTTTTATTTACCCAAGTCTTTTAGTACAGAAAAGTTTTTCTTCAATCCTGTGTGTGCTATACTGTATATTAAAACTCCCAGGACCAGGAGCATTTAAGAAAATTCTCTATAAATCGTGAGGTTAATTTTTACAAAACTCGTCTGTATTATTGTATGATAACTGCATATTGTTAATCATTTATTAAGGATTTCCAAATGTTTAGTTTATTATTTCTAAGGCATTAAGTCTATGTTAACAGACACTAGTATGCAGTTTAAAAATACAGCTACAAATGCTGTATTTTGACTTAAAAGCACATACATAATGTGGTTAATTATTGTATGTTCATGCTTAATTTTTCATAAAATTAGACATTGCATTATTTATATTTGAACTCATTTTTTTAGTTGCAGTGATTTTACAAAATAGCCAAGTAGTATAACATGTCAAACATCACAATGCCATGCCAGAATCTGAAAAGAGAAATAAGAATTACATTATTCTTTGACAAAAATTATTGTAGGAGCTTTTATGAAATATTTGCCCAAAAATGAAAGTTCAATCATTATTTACTCAACCTTTACTGATTTATTTTTTCATTAATACATTATATTTATTAAATTAGTATTTAAGAGTAGTTGGTGTTTTTTTATTTATTTTTAGATCAGGCAGAATGGGTAAGTAAATGATTAATAAACGATTCAAATGAACTTTTATTGAAAAAAAATATAAAAAAATGAGTTTATATTATAAGATTATATATATAAAAGACTAATAAAATTAATGTTTAATAATTAACATGTGCTTTTATTACAGCCAAACTAAAATAAATAAGACTTTCTCCAGAAGAAGAAAAAAGTATTCATAAAGAATTTCATGCATTTGTTCCCACTCTGTTGAACATCCCTTGATATATACTAAAAAAAATAATAAAAAACTCACAAGAGGGCTAATCATTTTGATTTCAACTGTTGGTACACTGTCATTTCATACACGTTTCATTATTACAGTATAAGCCAACTATAATAAGCCCAAAATATAGTTTAATTTCATAATTCACATCATTGCTTGCTTTAACTGATACATATATATATATATATATTATAAGGGCTGTAACGATACACAACATAAAATCGAAATCGCGACACTCAGATCTACGATCCTGTGTTGCGGTGTGATAAGGGAGAATCGCGACACACCCCGTGATACCTTTCCAATAACGTCACGCGTGCCTGCAAAAGTTGAGCTAATTAACACTTTTTTTCGTTCGACATTACAAGCACTGCTCCGTTTAAGCCCTCCAATATTTAGCCGGGAGAGCTCGCACGGAGCTCTTAGTAAGGGACCGTCTGAATGTGTCAGGAATATCAAAAACAAAACCAACTTAACCTCGCTTGACAACAGACAACGCCAGAAACATTGCCAATGCTGTCAAAGCGGCCGGATTTTCAGCGCATATACGATGATTTGCTCACACTGTTAATGTGGCTGCGCAGAGAGGGATGGGCGTTCCCCAGATGTCAGGTAACAGCGCAAACTTTTCTGTAACCATGCTGTGCGATTTCTGTTTGAACCTTTGAGAGTGCTGACTGACAGGTGCGCGATGCGTGAGGTCAGAAAACATGACGAAGCTTTCAGTTAAGATAAACACAGTTTCTATAGTTATACTTTATTTATAGATAAAGGTATATGACTCTGCATGCAATCACTCTATCTTGCTGGAGTTAATAGCCGTTTCGCTTTACTTGAGGACGCATTAACGCCGCTCTGAAGGTCTAATCGCTGTTTTAAGTTATCCAGAGCTGTATGAATATACAAATCTTGAATATCACAATAGTATTAAATATTACAATTGTAACAACACAGACAGCAACACTTTTGCACAATCGATACCCAGCTGATTCAGTTGTTTCATAAGAGGACCGCGCCTCTTCTTTTTTCCTTGTCAACATAAAGGCAGTGAGGTGCACCTCGTTTTCGCCCCTTGTTTAACTGCAAGGCATACTTAATTTGCGGGACCATAACGTGTAACCCGTGCCTACAGACACATTTGCCAAAGAAGCAAAAATGAAAGAAGAATATTGCTGTTTGATACAGACCTGTTGATGCTTAACCAGCGCTTATGTTGACCTGGATCTGCGTAATAAACGCAACAAATAGGCTTTACTTTTTATTTTACAGCTTATAAAGCATGTATGCACATTAATGCAATAGCATATTTAAACAACAAAACTGTTTACAAAAAGTCAACATATGCGCGCGTGTTGTTGTTGTCTTTTCATCACGCAGCGCGCACACTTGAACCGCGAGGGAGAGAGAGGAAGGCATAGGCTATATCAGGACATAATCTTTAAAATAATGATTTCTATTAAAATGTAAAAGGTTTTGTGATTATAATAATAACCGTGGGGCATTAAATAAATGCATATTTTCCGTGGAGCGGGCAATTTGAGGAAGTCTGCGATTTTTATTTGACGGAAGAAAAAAACATATGATTGGAAAAAAAAGCCTATGCCAGTTATTAAAAAGAATCAGTCAGTAGTTTTGTAATATAAATTAATTATTTAAGTGAAAATAATTTAGGGCAGTCCTATTTATTTTATTAATTTTATTTAGATTATTCTGCTCTTCTGTGCTAAACACTGCAGGTGCGTGGAAATGCTCTGTTGTTCTGTTCCGCTATTAATATTCTAACATATAAAAATAAATCAGTATTTTAAAATGCAATATTTAATGTGTCAGACACAAAATAGACACATCAATTTGTTTAATATAAAATTAATAGTAATCTGACCAGTTAACCGTTAATAACCGATTAATGAGCAGCGTTTGT